TGCTGCCTTTCTATTTCTTCTGTAGTGATGAATTGCCGTTATTTCCGCCTCGTAGTGATGAATTTGTCAGATAGACTTACCAGGAATTCTATCGCTTGCTTTGTCCCTACTATACCGTCGATCCCATACCCATCGATGATTTTGAGAACCCGGTGTCCCAGGTAGCTTCACCTTGTATGATTATACCTTCATTTTAGTCTTCCCTGCCTGTCAAATTAATTTTGAATTTATTGTCAAATCTATACCTCACAGCTGTTGCTTCGATTACAATATCTGCTTTTAGCTTCTCGATTAACTTTCTATGGTTAGCAGTATGCTTCTGACTATGTATTAATCTATGCTTAAAAGATCAGGTTTCGCCCCATATAAAGATATGAAGTGATGGTAGATTCAGGAGGACTTCCACGTAGGAGTATGCGTTGTTTTTATAGCCCTTATAATACACAGCCATGCTAGTCTGTGTGTATTAGTTAGCAATATTATTACTTCCACTCGGTGCGGCTTTGTCCACTACGTCACATCGGTTATCATTGGCATCATTTTGGGGTTGATCCGCCAATTTTGACCACACATACTTCTACATCTACCCAAGGATATACTAGTAGCTTTCTGTGTGGTTTTTAGGATGTAAGTATTTCATGTAAGCCTATGATCAAAATACACCCCTAGGTATTTTATTTCTTTGGCAAATGAAATCTGTTGTCCTCCCAGCACCAATGGATTTAGGCCTTGTTATGCTGTCTTTTTTGTGACTTTTTGCTGAAGTCGAATGCTAGTTGGTTGCCTGTCCACAAGTTGTCGATAGTGTATTTTTGCGGGCAGTTTGGACAGGTTTGTTGTGTTTGTTGTACTGCTCCGCAGTCACACTTGTCTTCGTTTCTGTTAAGCAAGTCCCATTTGGTAAGGTTAGACTTTCCGAAACTACGCTAGTTCTTAAGCTTTTTACCATGCTTCACGTCGACCAGTCGCTTGAAATCCTGTTTTTTGGAGTTTCTGTTTAGTGGGTAACAGGCTGCTAGTTCGTCTGACAAGGCGCTAAGGAAAAGCTTTCTTGATTTTCGTCAGGGGTTTTTTCTCATTCGGCCGGTAATGAGTTTGTACGTTTCGTTTCGGTTTGCGTTTACTTTCTTGGCGTGCGCATATTTCTTTCATACCAGACATGCGTATTCCGCGTGTACTAAAAGGTTGTAATGCGCATCCACTTTCTTTCGGGTTTTTTTTTCGCAATGGAACCTGTTTGTTAAAATGTGGTCTAGTGTGATTCCTAGGTATTTTGGTTTTTCGGGGTACTTAAGCGTTGTTTTATTCCAGTTGTTTCCTTTTGGCCTTTCGGGACTAAAGGTGCCGAAATCTTCTGCGTATATTAAGTTTTTAGTTCAAGTTGACGTTGGTTGATCATCGGTGTATTTGTTGAAGAGTATAGGTGCTAGTACGCTACCCCGAGCCAAGCCATTTGTTTGGATTGGAAAAGCCAAGGACTTTGCTTCCCTTAAAACTCACGTAGAATCGTCTATTATACGGTAGTAATTCCACAATTTTGACGAGTGAGTAGTCTCTAAGAGTTGCATAGACTCTCTGCAGTAGGTTTATGTGATTGACGGTGTCGTAGTTGGCGCTGAAGTCGACGATTGTGAGGCTTGTAATATTTTTTTCATCAATTTCTTTCTCGATGTGTTTCGTGAGAGCTGAAATTTGACTGGTGCAAGTCCTCCCATGAAACCAGCTTGTTGTGTTATGATTTTTGAGTCGACCGGTTTCTCTATGTGATGCAGGATGTCTTTCCTACAACTTATATAGGTGGAACAGGAGCGGTATACGGTGGTAACTCTTTTGCGTTTCTTAATATTTCCTAGATTTAGTATAACTATGACCTTCTTCTTTTCACAGCTTTGGTACCAAATGTTAAATGTGTGTGTGAATTCTTTCATGGTGAAGGATACGTCAAAGTACTTTTTCTCAGTTGATATATTTCGTGCAGTGATTCCACTCTCAACTATCTAGTAAATTTAGTAATTAATTTTTTGCTACGTTGGACACATTTTAACTTCGACTGGTTATGTTATACACAATTCTGATTCTGCGAAATGGCTGAATTTTTAAAACTATCTTTTTTTGAAAACGATTTCGGTAGTGAAAATCGAAACGTCAAACATTAGTTAAAAATGTAGTTTTCATTACAATCAATAATTGTTCTTAATCCCATATAAACATAGTATGAAAATGAATGCATATATACCATTATTCATGAGTATTCTTGTTTTTGTAATTAAAAAGGTCTGTAAACAGTAAGTTTATTTCAGCTTCTAATAGTGTGGTACGAATTTTTGTGTTGTATGTTTCCGATTATGATTCTGTCAAAATTTTCCCAAACTGAGGAAACTGATTATAAAGTCAGAATTGAAAAAGCACGTGCCAACTTCGTGAAAATGAAAAAGATTTTATGCAGCAAAGATCTGACATTGGCCCTCAGAATAAAGCTAATTAAATGCTATGTACACAGTGTACTCTACTATGGAGCTGAATCATGGACATTAAACCGTAATACAATAAATCGATTTAACGCGTTTGAAATGTGGACATTTAAAATATTTTTAAGGATTCCATGGGTAGATAGAGTCACGAATTCAGAAGTGTTACGGAGAATAGGCAGAGAGACGAAAATGGAAAATACAATAAAAGAAAGGAAATTGCAATATCTCGGACATGTAATAAGAGGCGAAAGATTCAACACCTTGAGACTCTTAATTCAAGGAAAAATAGAGGGTACGAGAAGCGTAGGAAGAAGACGCGTTTCCTAGTTGAAAAACCTGAGAGAGTGGTTTGATTGCAGCTCAAGGCAATTGCTCAGAGCAGCTGCCTCGAAGGTCAGAATAGCCATTATGATTGCCGACCTTCGTCGCGGAGATGGCACTTAAAGAAGAATACACGAAAATTTTATTGGTGTATATTAATATAAATAATATAAATATTAGATACAATTTCAAAAGATAAGTAATTTAAAAAACACAAATTTGAGGTTAGTTGCAACTTTGTTCATATATAACTTGCAAATAAAATTACACTGCTGTCAGTTACACAGAAGGTTTTAATATATGATATCCAGGTTTCGTGTATTATCCTAAGCAAAATTGAAGGAAGACTTGTGTCGTAACATTATGGGAGATGAAAGCTTTGTTTCTACAATGAAAAACGGTAAGGTAATTTAAACTGTCTTTAAAAATGTAGCCAACAAGTGTCCTGGTTATAAGAAAGATAAGATCTTTAGATAGGTAATCTAAAAATCGTTTACATTGTTTTAATACTTAAAATTTGCTTCTTAACTCTTAACTGTAAAACAGTTTTCAAACAATTTCATATTGCTGTACTTTAATATTAGATTTCTTTCTATATTATATATGCAATGCTTCGTTATATTTGCGGCAGTATTGTGTGTATTTTAAGGGTTTTACTTTTGAAAACATTAATTGTAGATATCAACTTTATGACATAGACTTCTTAAAATAAATATTTAAATGTGGCGAATGCACCGGCGCCTCCGCCCATAATACACCAGATAAACTCCAAACTATTGATGAGACAGTTTGGTACACATTTTATGTATATTAAGGATAAAGGAAAATGCTATTTAATTGTAAAATAAAACAACGTATATATCATTATTTTTATTTAAAAATTACTCATTTATAAAGTTAAATTTGAAAATATGTACAATAGATATCTACAAATATATTACAATTAACAATAAATAAATAATGTTTTCTACTTAGTTAATAACGAAGTCCTCATTGCTTGTTAGTGACTACGAAGTTTTTGTTTGTTGAAGATCATTACGTTATCACTCTTGCGCAATATAATTTGAAAAACCCGCGCTTTTCATAAATTAGATAATAAATAATTATTTGAATTAGCAAATTGAGATTTAATCAGGAATTAAAAATTCTTCCGATTTACATATTTTCCTATATATAAAGTTTCGAATTTTACTAAGAAAATTTATTCGATACCTATTCCATAGCATGGTATTGTCTTAAATTAGTTAAACGTTGACGTTTTTTAAATCAACGATTAAAGACCGATGGGTAATTACCTGAAACTCTTAGAAAGGTGTTACTAGGACACTTAAAATGTTTGTGTAATTATTTATTAAGATTTTAATCGATTTGGTGGAATATAAACACAAGAGTTCATCGATCAACTTTTTAAAGATATCCAAAATCAATTGTTATATTAGAAGTTACTGATACTGTGTAAAAATAAGACAATCATAGATAATCGTATTGAGATTGAGGTAACTCTAGGTATTAGTTCTGTGTATAATATTCTAACAGGTGGTGAATACTTGATCGAAGGAAGTACGAGGTTGACTATAAGAGAGTTTGAAATTTAAAAAATCCAATAATAGTTGTTCACAAGCGTTGTTTGTGAAATATCTGGGTTTGAACCATTTTGACCAGTGGTTCGAAAGCGATCACACATGTATAGATCATAAAACATAATGTTTTAAAAAACAATTAAAAGTCATCTCCATTGACCAATTACCGTTCTTTTTTACCATTGGTCTTAGATCTTCCATAAAGGAAGACCTGAAACCTAAATTCCGTGGTACATTTGTATAATTTTATGTTTTTTACCCACCCTAGTTTTTTATCCTTTATCGTCAAAGGCTAAATTTAAATAAAATTAGTTAAATATCCAACAAAACAATATTTTCAAAAATATTCCATTGTCATAACAGTAGGTCGTAACATAAATTTGGCTTCCTTCAGAAAAGCAAACTGTCAATATGTCTCATCTTTCGTGAATCCAATATGTTTGCAGCAAGAAATTTGATTGATGCCAAAGAAGTATTTTAAAAAAGTTCTTTCCATTTGTCTTTCTACTTGTTAACTTTAACTAAACATTAATATATAATGTTTGAAGATGGCAATTATTTAACAATGATCTAGAGAAATCTGATAAATAAGTACTTCTGATTCTTATTAAGGTCGCTGCAGTCCTACCTCGTAGTGATACCCCAATCTTCTTTAATCATATCAGAAGCCTTTTCTCCAATCATTATTGTAGGAGCGTTGGTATTCCCACTAACTATTGTAGGCATAATTGAAGCGTCCACGACTCTTAATTTTCCGATTCCGTAAACTTTTAATCTCGGATCTACAACAGCATCTGCATCTGTTGCCGGTCCCATTTTGCAGGTTGATGTAGGATGGTAAATGGTGAATGTGAAGTGGCGAATTGAACATTCCCAGTATTCGTCGGTGTCAAAAGCATATTGTCGACAACCTAAAAATAAATATATATAAATATAAATATATATAAATATAAAACAAATATATGAACTTTTTTTAAATGAAAGGCAGATATCGAGCACAGTTTTATTAATTTAATCTTGCCCAAGTACTTTCGTTTCCTAGAGCATCTTCAGGGGCATTTCGTCAAAGACTTTACCCTGAGATGCTCTAGGAAGCGAAAATAATTGGGCAAGATTTAATTAAAAAAATTGTGCTCGATATCTGCCTTTTCTTTGATCAAAGTTGATTTATTCAAGCATTCAACCTTATATCAAATAAATATATGTATAGTTAAATTATTCTGTAAAAATAAACAACATAAGTTTATGAGTGTATGTGTGGACTTCCTAAAGTTCTTAATTAACTATAAATTTCATGCTGAAAAAGAGGTCAAGGGGAATTGTTCAAGCTAGAAATAACTTCATAAAGATACAAATTAAAAAAATAATGATATGGTCCATGCTTCTTTGCGAGGTAGAGATGCGGACTTTAAAAATAACAACTCTAAATCACCTGGAAGCGTTTGAGATGTGGATGTATCGATACATTCTAAAGATAGTAACGATTATTGAATGAAGAAATGAAAAAAGTTTTATAGTTTCGAAACACAATTCAAATTTCTGCTTATAATCTGAGCCTTCTAAAAATTGCAAGGCAAACAGACGTTGATAAAAGATGTTAAAAGGGACATGGGGAATCTAAAATTTGCATTTCACGACATGTCTTTTACAACTAAGCAGAAATCCTTAGCGAATTGTGCTTCTAGTACTCACATAGAGTAAATCCGAAATAAAATGAAAAAGACAGCAAATATTTGATTTCACGCAAACAAATCCTATGTATCTGTTGATACGTATTTCGACCTAATAGGTCTCATCAGAACATCTATTCATAGGAGTTCTCAACGTGAAAAATCATTATTTTCTGCCTATGATTCTCAATAATCTAATTACAAAATCCGTAAAATAGATTCGAAACACAATTCAGATTTCTGCTTATAATTTGAGCCTTCTAACAATTGCAAGGCAAACAGACGTTGATAAAAGATGTTAAAAGGGACATGGGGAATCTAAAATTTCCATTCCAGTCTTAAAGACATGTCGTAGAATGCAAATTTTCGGAATGCTCGGGCTACAGCATAGAACATTTTCGGGCCAAAAAGTCCATCATCAGTGTATTATTGCCAGCTAAACATAAGTCACGCGACTAAATATATGGGTAAAATCCCTTAAAAAGATTCAAAGTTTATTGTGTCTTTTATTTTTCTTGAAAATATGCTGTAATGTTAAAGTATTTAACGGAAACCCTGAATGTCAACGTAAGACTCAAAATAGGAGTTGTTGCTGACCCTCAGACAATGTCTGAATGGCTTCTAGACGATTACTCTAGAATGAAGAAATAGAGAATAATGAAAGAATAGTAAAAATCTGGAAACAGCATGTCTGGGTCATATTTGACGTAAATTGTTGATTTCAAAGCATCTTTTCTTATGTTTCCCTTACATTTTCTTAAAATCAATATGTTACTAAAGTGATTCTAGCTTAGTCTAGATCTATTGAGGTCAGTTTTCCAAAGATCTAATAGTATTGGCTAACAAAACGAAGATTGTAATTACCATTTTCTCTGAGATTAATTATTATTTCTAACTGGGAATAAGCCACAATTAAAGATAAAAAATACGTTTATTGACGTTTCAATTTCCAATTCGGATATTACATACGAATATTATTATTATATATTATTATATACTATAATATTATTATTATATATTATATTATTATATATATTATATATTATATAATATTATTATTATATATATTAATATTAATATTATATATCGTATATAATATTAATATTAATATTATATACGAATTAGATGCTATGATTTTTTCTGACGGATATTCTCAAGTTAAAGTTGATTTCATGTAATCGAATGAACTATCTTATAAGTAAAGTCGTCCCAGGAGCGCAACTCAACAATATTGGCAATATCATTTTAAAGTCGTCTACTTTAAAATGCCATAATGTATGTCTGAATTGTCAATATAAATGAGTCAGATAAAATTAAATAATTAGAAGAATTTTTTCACTATGTAACAAAAAACAAAATTTGTTTAATTTAATGTTTGTATTTTGAGAACGATTTCCGAATTGGAAATTGAAACGTCAATAAACGTATTTTTATCTTTAATTGTGGCTTATTCCCAGTTAGAAATAATAATTAATTTACAATGCCACAAGAAAATAGCTTCAGAACAATATTCTCTGAGATTGTTTTGAAAGATGTTCCCAGTAGAGTGAAAAGTTCTTTTTTTTTTCATTTTTAGACATCTTTCTCGGTCCTGCAGAATTGTTGGATAAAAGGAGTACCATGGTAAAGTTAAAGTTCTTCTTTAGCAACCATGTTAAAGTTATTTTGTTTTTATTCACCAGCTGATTTAAAGATACTGTTTGTAACTCCAAACGGTTACGGATATACAAATTATCAGAAGTAATAGATATTTTCGCAGACTTGACGGTTTTTGTCAAATGCTTTATTGGTGGTCTGGTTAACTCCCATTTCTACTCACACTTGTGATTTGATTGATTTCGTTTTATGTTAGCTCATCATCGTTTCTAAGGATATTTAGTGGAATTTCGAAATCGTAGTTTACAGTCATCATGTTTGCGGAAATCTTCATATTGCAAAGTCTCTGTCAGTTCATCCCATAATTAATATTACTAGGTTAGTTGAAGCGAAAGCTTGGAATAAGTAGAAAAAAGCTATCTAATTTTCGTTAATTATGGAACTGGAAATAGTTAATAAGAACAGCTGACAACAGAGACAATTTTGCTGTTGTAAAATTGTAACTTTACGTAACAATAATCGATATAAGATAATCTGTTTTTAAATTTCTTTATTAAGTAAACATTTAAAAAGTTGTAAAATAGTTTGCTATTGTACAAAATGGAATTTCCATGACAACGTAATTATTACATAAATAGATCACATACTGATAGATTCAAGACATTTTTTCAACCTCATAGTCAGAATTTCCCGAGGTCCAAACATAGATAGTAACCACTTTCTTGTAATGGCAAAAATCAGAGGTAGAATATCAAACCTAAAGAAGGATAAAAATATGCAACAAGACATAATTAGTGTGGATAATCTGCACATTGAAACCGTTGCGAGAGAGTATAGGAAACAAATGGATGAGGGAATGACTTGGACGGGGAAAATGTAGAGAAGTTGTGGACAAAATGTAGAAACAACAGATAACAAAAATAGAGCATCTCTAAAGACAAACAAGCAGGATACACAAGAAGAGCAAAGGAGGAATACCGGACCCCAAGCAGATTAGAAAAAAGATTGGAATATTCAAACGTAAAATACTCTGCAAAGTATTTGGGGCTATAAACGACCAAGAGCTATGGCGCAAAGTCATATACCAACTCTTTAATGAACCAGACGTCGTAACTTTAATTAAAATACAGTGACTTGTATGAGCTGAACACATAATATGACTGCTAGAGAACATGGTTACTAAAAAGCTAACCACAGGAACACATATAGGAAGAAGAAGCAGAGGTCGATCGCAAATTCGATGAAGTTGAGTCCGAGTTAGGGATATTAATAATTAGAAGATGGTACTAGGTTTCTAGAACCAAAATACTAATAATAGCAGATTAAATAATATCAAATAATGGAAAAGAGATGGAAGAGAGATCTTATTTTAGTGAAAAAATCCACAATTTTCCTGTATAAGGGTTAAGTTTCTTCTTTGAAAAAAACACATAAAAGACAGAACATTATACTTCACAAAAAACACATTAAAAATGTTTTTTGTTAATGATATGTTTGTAACAACCGAATCATTTGGTTGAAGTTGAGGCGGCAACTCCCAAGAAAATTACAAGTTGCGATTTGACTTATTAACACTTATCCTGACAATACATCGCATTTCTACAACTTCAGCAAACTGAAAGATGAATTAGAATAAAATTGGAATAATACGTACCAAATAAAGATACAGTCTCAAAATAGATTCAAAAAAATATGAAGATAAATTATATATGGTTGGTGTACCATAGTCAAAAACAGATGGCAAAATAATATTCTTTACATAATACCATGACAGGACTTTTAATAGGTTTAATAGGTAGTACTTTTTCTTGTACACTGCTGTTCCAAAAAAATTGTGATTGTTGTGTTGAACCACGTAGGTAAATTCTTACTGGGCCTTCCTGGACCTCGTTTTCCTTCTACTTTTCACTATAAAATTAGTTACAGCAATCCATATCTTTCGCTGTTACTTATGATGCGGCTGAGGTATTCGATTTTGACTGTTTTCATTATGGTAAACAGCTCATGGTAATGCCTCATCTTTCAGTTCAATTGAGTCTACGACTCAATTCCAGTACAGGATAGGTATAACGTCCTAGTAACTTGATTTTTGTGGGTATTGATAAATCATAAAATTTAAATAGCTGAGCCATTTTTTTTAAATACAGGTCTTGCTTTCTCTATCCTAAATTTGGCAAAATTCTTGTCAAAAAAAACTTTTGATACTAACCAGGAAAAGGGATTTTGTGGTGGCCTAGAGTTAAACCTTTGGAAAGCTTGTGAAGCCGAAACATTCAACGCAATTCTTATCCCCTCCGTGAGAGTAGCAATATCTTCCTTGTGAGTGAAATAATTGGGATTGATATCAGGATACACCATGGGGTCTTTAGATTTCAACCGTATCCATCCAGTACTTCTCGGTCTAAGAAGAAGCGGTAAAATAGTCCAGGTGTCAGTGTCTTTAAGAGGTTTGTAGACTGTGTTGTAAACGCTGTCCCGTAATCCTGTGATCTTTCGTACTTGATCTGGATCTGAGTTTACACTGCTTGGAGCGAAGTGGAACTGGATATCTGGCCATAGCCCCGATTTTGGAGCGTATTTTGTATTCACAAATGCCAAACCTACAACAAATAAAACAATGTAATAGTGTAAAAACAATATTAAAAAAGTTATATTGACGAACTATTGACATTAAAACATACCATCATTTTCTGATATTTCCAGAGAACAATTGTACATTTATAAAAATAAATAATATAAATAATCAATGTAAGAATAAATATCAAGTTAAAACCTTTAACAGAGATAGTTATGTTTGATAGTAAAATAATTACCAGTGAGCCATGAGTATAATAATTATTAGTTACATTGTAAATATATCATCGAGTTAGAATCTAGATTCTAACTTGATGAAATATATACATAAAGGTAGGCAACCAGTTATTTCGAATGATCATGATTTAATCTTGCTTGTTGTTTTAACAAAATATTTAATACATGTTCATAAATTGAAGTTCAGTAACCTTTTGTTTCTTACAGTACGGAAGTATTTTAAGTTTAGTAATATTTAAAAAAGAAGAGATGCGTGTTCACATTTCATGAACGGTTATCTATGAATACCAAAAGCCTTAAGGATCTTCGAAACGAGCTACAAATTCGATTGAATCTATACTCTGCATAAGAAATTCTTTCGACTAGGTAAGACCAAGGTAATAAAAAAAGGGATCAATCTTATCAAACACTTTTTGACCTTCTTCGTTTAGGTTTTCGGAAATTAACTAGATTATTCATGTTATGTTAGTCTCAGTTGACATTTCTTTTATAAATCTAAATTGATTATCGCACAGTTTGGGCACTGAACGAAACTCATTGTAGGAGCAGTTTTAGGGGATTAGATAGTAATCACAGTGGCAGCAATGTCAAGTTATTGTCACAATGTTTACTTTGACATTTTTATTTGTCATTGTCACTTGATTTGAGGTCAAATTTAACATTTGACAATGTTTAAAATTGTCCGTTGTCTCTAAAACTATGTTCCTTATTCGCGGCATCGGATGGTGGCAGAAATCGAAAACAGACTCGAAAAGAAAAGTTAAGTTTCTTCACCAAACTTCTCAATTTACAGTAGAAATTCGTGTCTTCTGGTGCAGAATGTGCTGCACACTGTTGCACACTTGTGTTTAGAAGTTAGAGGTATTTCTAAATCTTTTGGCGGTTATTAAATAGTTCAAAAACACGCAGTAGTGTCTATTTTGTCATCAAAAGTAGATAACCGTATGTTGCGTATCCATATTCCCTTTATTGTTATACTCCATAACTTGGACTTTCATAATTCAATTTTCCATAAGTTTCTGTTTTGGGCCATAACTGACAAGTTTCATCTAGGTGTCTCTCATTATGTTTTCCTCCCATACTTTTTGCAGAAACTCAACGATTCTACACATTGGGTTAGTCTCATTTTGATGTTTAAAGCGTCTTGTCAAATCTATTCTATGTTAGAATTAATCGGTATATCACCTGACTTTTACCGAAATGTACTCCTTATTCAGGTAAGAATTCTATTTTTCACATTATTTGTTCCACTTCTTTATTTTTAACTGATTTTTTTTAAACTTGCAACAGTCATAGAATTATAATAAACTATCTCTTCCTTTTATTACATCTGCCCCATCTGCATGATCTTCATGCAGAATCATCATGCTAGTATTATCAAATCAAGAGACGTAATGTTATTTTACCATGAGACCAAATCGGTTCATCATCTAAAGCTTCCGCCTAATTTGTATTATTATCATATATTCATCATTCTTCTTCTCTTCTTATGGTGCCCTATCCAATTAGTGGTTGTTGGTGACAATTCTGGCATACTCCTCTCGATCTTTTGGGGCTCTAAAGAGTGCACGGGCATTGAGGTTTTTCCAATCCCTTAATGTTTTTAAGCCATAAGTATTTTATTCATCATTAAAGAGAATTTATTCTTAAAATTTCCCTGTTATCTGATTTAAGAGGTAATGTAACTTTCACTAAGACTGAGATTTGTCAGACTGTCTTACAGCTAAATACTGGTTGTTTCTTTGTTGGCTCTTTCACAGTTTTCACATATTTGGGTGTTCCGACATTAATAAAGTATCTAAGGATAGGCAATCAGTTTAACCCATACAAAAATAGGGTGTAAAAGAGTTAGAATTTAAAACTTGCATATACAAAGGGAACTAAATTTTGATTAAGAAATAATAATGCGTTTGGAAGAATGAACCATGGTTGGAAGGATAAATAAGCCACAACTTAAAAAAAAGATTATAGGGTTCTAACAGTATTGACTATTAATATCTACGAATAATTCTGAAAGTGTACTGCATTTAGAAAGTAACTATAATTATAAGAAAACTTATTCCTAGAAATCAAAATACGGCAAAAAGTTGTACAGATATGTAGAATTTTTATTAAGCATTTCAAAACAGTATTCTAACAGATATTGTTAAGAAAAGTATTTATTGTATATGATTAAGTAGTTAAATATATGGAAGGTGAAGTAACTATTTATATACAGTTATCACAAAAAGAGTTGAGTGGAAAGAGCTGAGGGAGACCTATGTCCAGCAGTGGACACATACAGGTTCATGATGATGATCACAAAATGAAGATAGATTAACAATTTCTTAGAGAATACAAATTTGGATTTTTATTCCACCAATAACTTTTTCTTTCTCTCTCCTTTAGTTCTCGATTATTTTTCTAATATTTATTTTACATCTCTGATGTATGCTACACTAAACCAGTAATTACCTTCAACTCCTCCAATTGATGTCATAGGACCTCTCTCATTCATGATATACTCCAAGGCAACCTGCCAAGTTTGGTAACGTTTCTTGGTAAAACTGATGGGATCGTCGATTGTAAAAGCTAACCCACCCAAGCCTACATGGTCTTGTAGATTGTGTCCAACTTTCAAATCGCTCAGGACTGGTATGTTAAATGATTCCAAATGTTCCTTCGGACCTAAATAAATGATTATTGTAAAAATCAACCTTAATTGTTGTTCGTTAAGTTGTTTTAATAAAGAAAAATGCTCTTCGATTGGTGAAAACATATTCTCTTTCAGTATGTGAAAACGGACAGAAAAAAAGTACTTTCGAGATCCGTAGCTTGGTATTAAGTGGGTTGTCCCAGAAGAACCTGGCCCACAAAAAAAAACAATATTTAAGTCCCCGGAATGTACAAAAAGTTTATAATTTTTGTAAAAAATACGTTTTTGAAAAAATAATTTACACAGTTTTATAAATTACAAATGATGTAATCAAGTTAAAAAAATGTGTATTTTTAATATTTAATTATTTGTCCATAGTAAACATTTTAAAAATCAACCTTAATTGTTGTTCGTTAAGTTGTTTTAATAAAGAAAAATGCTCTTCGATTGGTGAAAACATATTCTCTTTCCAGTATGTGAAAACGGACAGAAAAAAAGTACTTTCGAGATCCGTAGCTTGGTATTAAGTGGGTTGTCCCAGAAGAACCTGGCCCACAAAAAAAAACAATATTTTAGTCTCCCGGAATGTACAGAAAGTTTATAATTTTTTGTAAAAAAATACGTTTTTGAAAAAATAATTTACACAGTTTATAAATTACAAATGATGTAATCAAGTTAAAAGTGTGTATTTTTACATTTAATTTGTCCCTAGTAAACATTTTGGTTCTAAGTTAAATTATTTAGGTAACCTGGAATTACCCTAATTATATCACAATTTTTATATTTAATTCAGGTTTAACATGAATCAGAAACAGTAAAAAAATTCTAATACAATCATTACAGTGCTGGATTTTAATTCAATGGGTCAAATGATGATGGGATGATGATTCTCGCAGGTATTGACCAAGCAGAGACTAAAAAAAATTTAAAAACGAAACGAACGGAAGGAAAAGTCCCTGCAATCTAAATTAAGTAGGAATGTGTAACTAACTACTCCACCTGATTTAATAAATGTGGATATTCTTAGTATTGACTCTAATGATGAATCCATGGAAGAAGAATCAAGTAGGCCTGACGAAAAATTCAAGGTTCTAAAATAACTTCTCTAAGAAACAAAATTGAACGTCCAAGCGTGAAAGTAAAACAAGGCCTGCCAGTGAATCTGTCATTGTTTTCTAGGGCATGTGATCGCAGAGTCATTTCGAACAGAGCAAGTGCTTAACTAGCAAGTGCTCTTCTACAACATTTGAATGTCATATCACCAGAAAACTAAGCCGCAGTTATTGACAAGTCCGAGATTTTTCGTGAAAGGTTAAAGTAACGCAGAAGTATTAATGCCTCTCGCACAAACAAAATAATTGCTTTTTACTTCGATGGTAGGAAGGATGAAACCATAATCAAAGAAATTGTACGTGGGAAATCTGTCCGTAAAACCATACAAGTAGAACACATATCTTAGGTCGAGGAACTAGGTTCAGCATATTTCGCTTATGTCTCATGTCGGTCATGTCAACTCCAAACAGTGGATCTGGGAAAGATATAGTATCATCAATATTAAGTTACATGAGTGATAACTCCATTGATAACTCAAATATCAAACCGCTTGGATGTGATGGTACGGCAACGAATACTGGAACATCGCAAGGAGCAGTTTTGTTGTTTGAACGCGCATTGAAACATCCGGTCCAAGTAGTAATATGTATGTTGCACTTAAACGAATTGCCTCTGAGGAAAGTTTTTGTTGCTCTTGACGGTCCAACCATAGGACCAACATCATTCAGTGGGCCAATAGGCAAAGGTTTGACCAACTGCCAAGACTTCCCGGTTGTTAATTATGACAAAATAGATAGCACCTTCCCAGAAGTCGATAGTAAAGACTTAAGTACGGACCAGAAATACCTTTGGGATATATGTCAGACTGTAGTCAAAGGTGAATGTTCCTCTGAGTTGACCAGTAGAAACCCGGAAACTTGTCCCACGCCGGGTGGCTGACATTAGCAAATAGAATCTTACGTCTGTATATTTCAACTATTAAACCAACCCACAACTTAGAAAGCTTGCTGAGTTCGTCATGAAAGTCTATGCTACCTCATGGTTTACCATAAAATGTCGTCCTAAAATTATTCACGCATCACAACACTTTTTCTTCATCGTGCAGTGCACCAAGTTTTTAGACAGTGAACTGAAGGCTGTGGCTCAGTCTTCCTTGCAAATAAACGCCTTTATGGCTCATCCTGAACACATCCTTTGAGGGATGTTGTTTGACTCTCGAAAACATATAAGAGCTTTGGCTGGCAAATGGATAGAAAAAGCTCGACAGAGGGCACAAGGGCACATCCAGTCTTCAAACCACCACGAGTTAATTTTGAGGCAGTAGACTACCTCGATCTCATTGACTGGCAATCCACCACAGTTAAAGAACCACCACTTATAGCTGACTTCAGCAAAGAAGAGATTGGGATGATTGTTAATTCATGAAACAGTGGTAGAAAAGAGTTCAAAATACCACTTCATACTCAAGCGGTAGAACGAGTTGTTAAGGAAGTTACTGAAGCTTCTAAGCACGTTTGTGGCGTTCAAGAACGAGAAGGCTTTATAAGATCAAGATTATTGGGCAGAAGTATCTTCCTAAGTTTGAAACTAAGCGACAGTACACATCTGCTACAGCTGTATTGCAAAAATAAATTACAGGTAAGATTTATTTCATACTTATTTAGGATTACATCACAGCATTCTATTTTGAATAGTTACTTAGTATTAGTATTATAATTACAATCTGACACTTGCCCTAACAAATTTCTTTGTCCCGATCGAAGAAGCATTACAATACTTGTAGCTTTGAAGGCTAACTTAATTTGTTTAGCAACATCCTTTAAGATTAAATAAAGAACCATTTTAAAGATTTTTCTTTGTGAACTTTTTATCTGTAGTCTTTAAACAGTCTTTTATTGTTTTAACATAAAATATCCTAAAGTTTAAATAAGTAAATATGTAATTTATTGTTCATTAATTATGTTATAGAATGCTAATAATCCTACTAACCTAAGTAGAAGCAACAGACAGGTTTAACACTTAATCGTTAATCATAATAAAGAGAAGATATTGATTTCTCGTTGTTACAATTGAGATTTTCATAAAGATTCCGGGTGACTTTATTCTTAGTTACAGATATTATCCTAATTTTTATTGTTCACTGTTATCACGTACTTAATATTTTTTAAGTTGACAATAAAAATATAAAATTTAATTTTCATTAAAAAAAGATGAAATCGTATTTTTGAGAAAAAAATCTAGAGTTTAAGTTGATTCCGGGAGACCTAAATATGTTTTAATTAAAACAAAACTTTTTTTCCAGGAAAGAGTAATGTAAGAGGCAACAACTTTTTATCAACTTGAAAGTTTGAATTTCGAAAATTCATTATTTGAGTATTTATTATGATACACCCATATATATAGATACATATATATATATATATATATATATATATATATATATATATATATATTATATATATATATATATATTTATTTTTCTTTCAACATAATGAGCTCTATACATTTTCCCAACGATGTTCAATAAGTTCGATACCCTTTTTATAATAAGAACTGTCTTTCTTCTTAAAATAGTCCTTACTGCTGACATAACTTCTTCACAGTTATAAAATATTTGACCACTGAGCCATTTTTCGAACAGAAAATAATCCGATGAAGCTAAATCTGGAGAATAGGGTGCACGAGGTAGCAATTCAAATTTTAACTGATGAATTTTGGCCATTGCAATACCGCTTCTGGGAGCTAGACCATTGAATAAAAATAAAATATCTAGACCAGTGAATGATATTTCGAGATTTGAAAGTTATTTGAATGATGATTACTCAACAAAATGGGACTTACCAAGTGTCAACGATGGATGAAGAACATTTTGCATATAGGCTACAAATAAGAATTAAGCATAGATATTATTCAAAGTAGTTTTGCCAGAAGTTTCTATTAACGGGAATGACCTATGTTCATTTCCATAACATTATCTTCAAATTTGTAACATATTTAAAAATGTCAGTAGAAAGTAGAGAGAAAGGTTCTATCAGGACATAAAAATGACGAAGCAGCTAGTAAGATGCGAGTAAAAAAGGCACGAAAAAGAGAAAAAAGGAAAAGGAAATACAGGAAACAATCACCTAAAATATGTGTAGACAAGTGCATAAAGCAAAAAATCTTACCTACACCAGATAGCATCAGAAGTTGGGGACTGCCAATTGCTCCCGCGCTTAAAATGATCTCTCTCCTGGCACGGATGGTTTGAGGTCTGTTGTTTCGGATAATCCTCACTGCAAAGGCTTCTTTGGTCTTTGGATTTATTTTGATTTTGGTGGCTTGTGCGTACATCGCTATGTGAAGGTTCGGCCTGTTTCGCACTGGTCTGAGAAATGCTTTTGCTGTTGAACATCGTGAACCTCTTCGTATTGTACCTAAAATGAGGCCAAATAGGGACGATTACGATAACAGAATAAATAAGTTTTTCAAGATTGTTTATAATTTTATTAAATATAATACCAAAAATAACTTTTTTGAGAAAGATGTTATAGTAAAACTTAAAATATAGTAATAAGAGGGAAGGATACCAGTGGTTGGCTGTATACCATAATTTAAATACACCTACAGTGAAGTGAAAAACTTCTAGTATAAAATGGTATATAGGTATTTAAAATTTAATAAAAAATAAAATTTTCCAAATGGGTTATAACTGTATGAGAACGTTTTTGGTCTTATCAGACCATCATCAGTGAAAACATAGTTAGGAATTGAAATTAAGTCACTTAAAAAGGTGTAATAACGTTAAGATCTCATATTTAAATGTATTAAAAATTAAAACTAAAGGTCGATTCAAACACATCAGTCACGTCTCGTCACAGTCCCAGCGCCGAACCGAACAATCCGTCATACAAAATATTTTTTAATAGAAATCTGCCGCCGGCATTCACATTCATCAGTTGACGAACAGTTTCCCAGCTGTCAGATAATTATTAATAGTTCTGTGACCAAACAGGACCGGTTCGGCGCCGGGACTGTGACGGGACTGATGTGTTTGAATCGACCTTAAAGCAACATGAGATCGATGTTAAACGATTTAACTTTAAATGAAGATATTGAAGACTACTTGAAACGAGTACTTAGAAAAGATACCAGCCAACTGGCTTCTTTCTTCCTTTTCATCTTTTAACATCTACCACTTTTTTTTGTGGTCCTCTCCGATATTTTGGTTTAGTTTTGCTTTTTAGTTTGATGTGTAGCCAAAGTAACTTCTGTTGTTGGCTTACAGTCTCACTAACTATCACCTTGCACTTTTAACATAGACATGTATTTTCCTTTCTTATAAAATAAGTTGTTGGGAGTGAATTCTTCTTTTTTTGTTTGTGGTAAGTAGATTTTCTCTCTTCGATGAGTGTGCTAACAGTCATCACATTTAATGCTGTTGCTAATTCCAGCATATCATTTCAGCACCATTTTTAGTTCTAAAGCCCATTCCTCTACATATGTTCTCTTGAATTGATCCACGTGTTTTAATATGACCTCATATAATGACTCTCTGCTCTGATGAAATATCTCTAATTATGTCTCCTAATTCATCATGGAAATTTTTTTTCATTCTCACTCAGCCCTCACTAACAACATTCTATAACAAGAGCAAATTCCATTGAAATTATTCTTACACTTTTTCTTACAACTTGTACTACGGTATCTTTTATGTCTTTATCACCAATTATACCAACTCCATGCATTCCCCAATTCGTATCTTCACCTATTTCTTTTGTATCTTATCATTTTCACTTTGTCTCTTGAATGCAAACTTGTACTCTTATTCGTTTAAGCACATTTACCAACTATATACTCGTACTGTAAGAGTTACATTACTGATTTTTCTAACCTGTAATGGTATAGCATAACTTTGCCTGGAAGGGATATTCTTGATTAAAAGAGAAATGAAGAATTTCAGGTGTAACTATGTTCACCTGGCAAGGGGTATATTTAAATAAAAAATTTGAAATTTACACGTACCAATGGAAATGACAGAATTTGGCACAAAAAGAAAGGAGAAAAATAAAGGGCGCCAGCCACCTTATTCTTTTTCGAGAGACGAGGAAAAAGACATTGGGTTAAGACAGATTCTAAAAGAATGACAAATAGTTAATAAAAATGCATAAATAGTTAAACAAAAGAACGAGAAACAAACACAATTACCTTATAAGGTTGCTCTACACTTCTAACAGAATTATCTTATTTCCCAAAAGAAAGGAATATTATGAGGAAAAAATAATAAATAATTGCTACTAATAACTATAATACTAATAACTTGTATTTCGGATATGGTGGAAAGTATAATCAAACAAAAGGTTAACATAAAAAATCCTAAATATTAACAATATAGACGTAGATCATACAATGCAAATAGCACAATTAAAAATGTAAATTAAAGCCAATCATATTTTAAACAAATATTTCTAGAATTATATAGAATACCTTTATTAATGGGTAAAGCAGAAGTGTGAATTTCGTTTTAAATTAAATGATATTGAAAATTATCAATAGTAATACCACTAGTGACTCAATTTTCACGATAAGTCACGAATTGCTTGAAAACACCACGAGTCCGTAGGACGAGTGGTATTTTATTAGACTATTTCATGAACAAAGTGATAGGTCAAAAATTTAGTAGAATGAGAGGAAGGAATTTAATAATAATACATTTGATCTAGGTAACCCAAATCTACCCATTTTTTGAATAATTCACAATTAGTCATAATCATGAATTATTTATTATAACTATAAATAATTTGTTATAATTATTTTTTACCTATAACAATAAATAATTTGTACACGAAAAAAATACATTATTCTCGAGTCTCGACTATAATTATTATAAACGGTTGCAATTGTAAAATTTTTGAGTAGTATGACCGTTATTAGGTGGATACAATGTATTGTTGCTATTATTACTTGATGTACTTGGAGTATTCCTAAAAGTATTCACTATGTTCTGATGATGTTCGGCACTAAGATGTAAATACGGTTTCATCGAGTTCGAACTTCCATGTCCAGTAATTTTCATAGCTTGTTGTTCACTAACGCCAGATTGTAGTAACTGACTAACTGAAGTGGCACGATTAGAGTGATTCGTTTTTCACTTTTTTAGTGTCTAATCCTATCTTTTCTGCAGACATTGTTGTCCATTTGGATATTGTATTAATACCAATAGGACAATTCTTGTACCAATTACTATTATTATATTTATTCCACTTGCCATTCACAGTCAGAAAAAGTCGATCATTGGTAATACTTTCCCTTTTCGATATAAGTTTCCGGTATAATCTCACAGGACACATTTCAGGATTCTTCAAATTTTGAGTAAGCCATTTATTATCTGCACAGTTTTTATCACCACCTTGGCGGGTTTTGGAGAATATCGGGTTATATGCAATTCTGTTTGTTAAACAGCCTTTGTTGTTAGTCTCTTCCTTGAAAAAATGTAACATGGAAAAACTTGCTTCGTTACCTCTCCAAGCTAATTCTACGGCAGCTATATGAAAAAACTTCCTTTGGAGTCCCTCTGGCGTGTCTTCGTCCCATTGTAAGCACATATTTTTATATTCATCCAAAGTCATAGCGACAGAACTCATTTTCCTTTTATCGGGTACAGTTTGCAACAATTTTCTCTTACTAGAAACCGCTCTCGCTTCCTTGAAGGTTATATCTTTGAAGGGATCAATATGTCTCTGATACTCACAGAAATATTTTTCTTGTACCAATTTTGCAGTAGTGTTCCATATGGTTTTAATAACACTCTCCTTGTAATCACTACCATCAATTTTTCGCATGTTGAAGGCCCAGTCTTTTAGAATGAATGCTACTCTTTCGTTATAAACATCATAAATTGTCTCATATATAAGATTTAGATTTTCTTGTGTTACTCGGTATATTTTCTTCAATGTTTTGGTTTATAACTTCGTTTGAAGTACCACCGAAACGACTCGTTTTGACATATACAGCTACAATATTTTTTTTGGCAAACGTCAAACTTTGCTTTGCGATCGGTATCCATGGTTACGTCGTTGAAAACAGGAAGCTAATAGACCAATCAAAATTGAAAGACACTGTTGGTGTTTTCGCGATAACACAAGCTGTCTTTGGTTTGTGATTGGTCAGATTATGTGAAAATTTTAAGATGATGTGAAATAGTCTAGTAAAATATACCTACAAATATAGCCAAACAAAAAGTATAGTAATTATCCTTTGGTTACTAGAGTAGTGAACATACATAATTTTTGGTTATACGTTAACAATAAAGGTCCTTCTGAAATACAAAAAGATTGGGGGACATCCCCTAAAAAAATACTACCACTAAATACATACGCAACAAAAATTAAAAATAAAACTATAAACTATATAACTAATAGGTATATATTTCCTTCGTTCGCCATTAGAAAAATTGAGTATTTTGTTTTGTTAGGTTTTAAATTGCGTTATTTGAAAACTTACAAAGAATTCTGCTCATTTTCATCTAATCGGCACTAATTTTAAACTTCATTTAATTATTGCTCCATGAAATGGAAAATCCTTAAGTGGGTTTTTATTTATCCATGCGTAGATAGCCGGTGTGAGAACTCTATAGGGGAATCAGAGACCAAACGGATTAAAAAGTGGGTGACTTTAAAGTTGTTTATTCAATTTTTTTTTAATGCAAAAGGATATGAACCATTCTCGGTTCCTTTAATTTACAGGGTGAAAAGAAACTGCTAGTGATATGGTGATTTGCCTGAAGTACTTCCCACCCATAAATCCAAACAGATCGGAGGCTCATTTTTCTTGCAGAAGATTTTAACTCAGGAGATGCCATTATTTCAGTACAATTTTTGTTACATTGGAGAAAGTCTTTTCATTATTATATAAATTTTTACATTTGATTTGATTTTTACATTTTACATTTGATGCCTGAATACATTTTGTCAGTATCATATTCCTGCATCACTTGGCCAACACACCACCAAACGACAATTTAATAAACAACAAAATATTCGTTAATATTACTTATCGAGTATATAAATGCAGTTATTAATTCTTACCTTGTGTCAGCATAAATCCAGTCTGGATCTCTCCATTAATGTCTCTAATCTGGTAACCTAATTCTCGTCCGGCTTGTAGAAAAGCTATAGATAAAGGGGTCCTCCATGGGGATTCTTGTACAGTTAAATAACCTCCCGTTTGATGGTATGGAGTCCTCGAGAGGTAAGGATTTCTGTTATCTTCCGATTTTAAGAAATATGGCAGTACGTTATCATATGACCAACCAGGGTTGCCTTGAGCTTCCCAGTAATCGTAGTCCTGACGGTTACCCCGGACGTAGACCATAGCGTTTAAGACACTGGAACCCCCTAATACCTAAAAACAAAAAGTGATTTTGCCAGCTTACTTTGTTACACAACGCCAATGTTTCACTTTGTTTCGTTTTATACATTAGTTTAACAAGATAATTCTAAAAACCGAGACCATTTTATATCTACTGTTATATTTCTTTATAGAAATCGTATGAAACGGACCTAAATGGTTTCTTTATCTTCTATAAATTTTATTGAAAGAAAGTATGATACTGAGTTTGCGTGAGCGTGAAAGATTAGCAGATGACGTATGTTTCACAAAAGTCCACCGATGAGTATCTAGGCGATTTTGCGGGACCAAAAATATATAATTAATGTTGCTCTAATTGATGGCCGCCTTTAATGAAACTTTTAGTAGAATGATATATACTTTTAGTAAAATAATCTTTTTTGTTTTAGGTACGTCATATAATTCAACAAACTTGATTGAAAAAGTTAAAACCAGTAAATGGTAAGTCAATGTCTTTATAATTAATGTAGTCCAGTCGTCAGACACTGAACCTCTAACAATCATACGAACAAGCTGAATTTTCCTGAGAATATCAATTTTGGGACTCCAAAAAGATGCAAAAAAGTTTGCCCCTTCTACCCCCGGGTTTCCCACTAAAACCACCCTCGTAGAGGTGGAAAACGGAAAACATCGATTTACCAAGGATCTATATGAGAGAATGAACCATTCTTCCAAAAATAATGTTGGAGGAGACCGGTTGTTGGGTATACAGATTGAACGAAATAAATTCGGAACATAGGAAACATCATGTATTTCGGCTCATTTCTGCTGTAGGAGGTTGGCCAACAAAAGGTTGTCAAATAATTATATTATAAAAACCCAATACTTCTGCGGGCTGCTGGATTCTGAACTCATAAAAATTGAAAGCTACACATAAATCTACGATTTTATTATGCTGTCAAACCACTTATAGTCCAGGAAATGAAGCATTTCACCTCGTAATTTTTCGTCCTGCGTGGATTAACTTGAAATTTTAACAGAAGGTAGGTAATAGCCTAAGGATCAAAATCTATATCGAACCAAAGTGCGCCAAAGCTGGAGGTTGGAGGAACAAAAAATGTTCTATACATTTTTTTTTGCAAAACTGATATTTTTCAAGTTATTCGCGATTGAAAGTAACAACTTTTAGACGAAAAAATCGACGTTTTTAATTGATTTTTGCGAATAACTCGAAAATGGTGCATTTTATCAAAAAATTGTAGAGAACAAATTTGTAGCTTTTAAAAAGACAAATACAATTCATTTTTCAAAATGTTTTTGCGATATAATAGGAACCGAAATACGGCCTATCAATGTTCAGCGGTTTTCTTCAAATGCCAAATTTGAAAGATTCAAAGTCAAATATCGGGAAAATGATGCATTTTTGGAAGAAAACTCACACAACCTTTTTTAAAGAGCATAAATAGATCTATCATAAAAAAGACTCTAGCTCAAAAATTGAGTGAGTTATGATGAAAATAAGGCCAATACCTCATTTTTTTCGAAAAAATCGATGAAAACAACCCCCTAACCACTCCCATAATTAAAATCGATCTTCACCCTTCTGCAATTCTCTTTGTACATGTATTGTTAATACGTCCAAGAAGTTTGACCCATTTAAAATGCTTAGTTTTAGAAAAAGTACAGCTTAAAGCGAGAAACGATTTACAATTTCATATTTTTTACCCTTCTTTTTTTAAATATCCCCGAAAATACTGAATATATGAAAGAAATAAAAATGTACTAAATTGTAGCTTTTTTAATGACTAAAATTATCTTTTATTTAGATTTGTTGTACAATGAATATTTGGCGAGATATAGCCGTTTAAAGCATCGATTTACGATCAAGCACCATCTTTTTCGAGCCCTTTAAACTCACCTCATTTAAAAACCAAGGGTTCCAAAGAGATTTAATTCACAGATCCTTGTAGCTCTTAAAAACCTCTACAAAATCGTTTTTGAGGAAACTACTCTATCGTTAAAAATGAAGGAAATACGTTAAAAAACCAATTAATTTTTTTTTTCGGAAAATTCCATTAGTATAGTACAGTACATTTTGGAGCATAATAATCTACAAAACCGGTATATTAGGTAGTGGGGCGTTATACATTCGAAATTTTAAGCGTTCTTATTTTGAAATCCCATACAACAGAATAAAACATTTGCTCATATGTTTATGGCTTGGCAATGAAAATATCAGAGCAAAAGACTGGGGATAGTATTCCAAAGATGGTCGATGAACTTTTGAAAATTATTTTTTGCCAATGCAAAAAAGGATGCGGCGTTTCATGTGGGTACAGAATAGTTGGTTTATACTGTAACTTTACTTGTTCTGGGTGCTCAGGTGAAGGGTGCAATAATAGTCCACCAATAATTGAAGAAGATGAGGATGACATAGATCACGATGAAGATGTAATTGAATGACGAATAAAATTAATATTATAATTGTTTTACCTATAAATGTAAATATTTTCAACTATTTATGTAAATGTATAAGAATATATGGTGCCTTTTTATGTTGATAAATTTTTTGTATTTAATTCTACTTTTTTCAATTTATATCTATTAAATTAGTTTATAAACTGCACCCTTTACAACTGCAATGTTGTAAAGGGTGATTTTCCAAAGTTGAAAAGTAGCAAAATTTTGGCAAAAATTGTTTTTACCTATAGCACTCATAACAATTTATTTTTAAGGGTTGAAAATGTATGAAATTGAATTTTAAAGTATAAAAAAATCACTATTTAACTAATCCAAACCAAATTTCACTCATCTTAAGATTTGTAATGTTATTTTACAATTTTTGAAAATTAGGGGTAGTTTTCAACCCTAAGAACAATCAGGGTTCATCGGCATGACATAAACTATCAAGCAGAGGGTGAGTTAAGCTTAATTTTTTATGCAAATCGTTCCAAGGCGAAATCATTTTCTTCGCATTACTAATTTTTTTACATTAATCTCTAACAAGGGTCGCTTTTTAAGGGTTGAAATATGATGGAACTTTATTCAAAAGCACGAAACTATCATTATTTAATTAATTCAAACCAAATTTTACCCATATTCAGGTTTAATATGTTATTTTATAATTTTTGACAATTAGGGCTAGTTTTCACCCCTAAGAACAATCAGGGTTCGTCTACATGACATAAACTATAAAGCAGCGGGTGAATTGAGCTTAAATCCAAATTTTTATCCAAATCGATCCAAGGCGAAATCATTTTTTTAGAATTAGTAATTTTTTACATTAATCTCTAACAAGGGTTGCTTTTTAAGGGTTGAAATATGATGGAACTCTATTCAAAAGTATAAAATAATCATTATTTAACTAATTCAAACCAAATCTTACCCATATTCAGGTTTAATATGTTATTTTATAATTTTTGACAATTAGGGGTAGTTTTCACTCCTAAAACCATTCAGCGCACTTCGGTTCGATATAGATTTTGATCCTTGGGCTATCACCTACCTTCTGTTAAAATTTCAACTCAATTCATGCAGGACGATAAAATTGCGAGGTTTTAACTTTTTTCGAGCTTCATTTCCTGAACTATTAAAAACTTCCTTAGACAAGCAACATTGTTACACAAACAACATTGTTGCGAGACAAATAGTTGAACGATATTTTATACAATGTCTATACCCAGGTATGGATTTATTTTTGTCCAAGTTTTATATTGGTCCACTATTTTAAATGCAGTTCAAACAGACATATATTAAATTGTATGTTCCGTTTTAAATTCGTTCTATCTGTATAATAGAGACCAAATATAACAATTGGGGAAGAAGGGGAGAGAATGTATTATGTTTAATCTAGAACTCGCTGGTTTTCCGCTTTCGGATTGGGTATGTATATTAAAATAAAAGAAATGAAAGCCAGATGACTATATAAAACTCTATAATAACTAATCAACTATATATATTATATATATATATATATATATATATAATATATATATATATATATATATAACTGATCAAGACTTTAACTAATCAAGAGCTTATACAATCTTAAATATTAGTTAATATGAAACGACACCAAGAAGACAACCATGTTAAGGATAAAAAAACTGTGGTAAAATGAACAAAACTTTGTTAATAAAAGTTACACAAAATGCAATCAGATAAAACATTTATGAATTATATTGAACTTAATTACAAATATCGATAAACTCAATTCAAAGTATAATGGGTAATGAAATACACATTAAATTAATAATGAAATTAATACAATTAGTAAACTCATCACGTAAAAGCTGTGATATACATACAAAAAAAAAGAATAGTGAAATTATTAAAATTTTATAAATATACAAATCTACTATAAAGGTAATAACATTTAACCAATCATAAACTGTTCTCAAACGATTAAAATGTTCAACATGCGATATAATGTGAAATATAGCACAAACAATTTTAACTTGCCAAATAATTAAAGAATAATGTAGCGATTCTACACAGTAAACGTACGTGTTGTAATGGTTTATATAAGTTGTACTTTACCCCGTGAAAAGATAGCACCACCGCTATCGCAAAAGATGTCTTCACCGACGAACAGGAACCAACAAGTTGATAATGCACATTCCACCCTAACTGCATTTAACGTCTGTCCCGGTCAAAGACCGATGCGGAGTGTCGTACTCTTAACTCAAAACGCATGTACACATCTGTGTGGTTTGAGAGATAAAATTCGACCATGATTTTAACTTCAAAAACACATCTCTCTCATATTACATATGGAACTCGTCCTTATTTCGCAGATGGCCGTCTTGGAATGTTTAGCCCTTAAACCCCCGTGCCCTTTTACAAGCAAATATCGTTTAAATATACGGGGAGAATCACAACTATCAAAAAGTCTGTTAATACATTACAAATGTTTAGACACGGTTGCGAAACTGCAACATCGGTGATTTTGAGAAAGAAATTTCCGCTACTTCGGTTTTATGGGCATGCTTAAATATAATACAATACATTTTCATAAAAAGTTTTAAACCATTTTGTAGCAATATTCGCTTTTATTTTGTGACTCTTTCACACTCCGTAACTTTTTCTAGGTGCACTTTTACATATATGTAGGTAAGTTCGGTCAAATCGACTTATTTTCATCCCTAAAAATCGTTACCAATGTTTTTGTGACACCTGGTATATATATAAACGATATAAAAATTATTCAATACTAAAATGTTACGATTTGCCATTCCTACGTAAACAATACAAATGATAATCATTAACTCTGAAATAGTCACGCGAATTTCTCTTATAATGATATGTAGAAATTGTAATATGCAAAGTTACGTCACGTTAGTTGTGTTGGAAAGATGTTATGATTTGTTATGAAATTATGCGAACGATTATTAGACACTCGAAAAAATACCTCTTTGCAATACTTTTATTAATATTTTATCAAACATTATCAAAACATATAATTCTATGAATAATAGTGAAGAAATTTGTTTTCAACATCTCCATTGGTGATTGACGATCAATATGGCAATTATGGCTAACATTTATTCGCGTAAAAATTCATTATTCATTATCTAATCTCGCATTACAAATTTCGCAAAACATTTTTTTACGAATGTAAACTTCATTTAATCCAAATCACTTTACTCTAATAACAAGCTTTTGCCATAAAGTATACAAAGACTGTATGAAATTTGAAATTAGTCAACAACTAATCGTATTTAACCCTTTCATTACTCTTGGGATATATATATGTCCCAGATTTCAAAAAAATCTGCTGGCATCTGTTTTGTCCCCAAAGCCCATGTTATTTGAAAGCTTCCGTAATTCCGTATATTTAGACATTCGTTACTTCTTACCTAGTAGTATGTAACCTAATTATCACGTCTTTAATCTATAAACTGATGTTAACAACTCGTAAATAATACAACTTTAGTAAAGAAAAAGTGGTTGCTCTGTTTTTTAACCGATTGTATATAATTTCGTTGCCGATTAACACAAATTAGTAATATATAGTGTTTATTTTTGATATTGTTTTCATCGATTTTACAATAATTTTTAAACGAGGCTCTAGCGTCCAGTAGTAGTGTATACCGGGCCATATTTATTCCATTCGTATTGTTTGGTTGCAGACTTACTATGACACATAGACGTTCTCTAACACAAAAAGAGCTTTACGGGTATACGGCGGTAGCCGTCTTTAAAATGTATTATATGTACAAGTTGGATCCTGTAATATATATATATATATATATATATATATATATATATATATATATATATATATATAAACCAAAGAATAGCAGCACTTCTAGAAAATAAAAATATAAAATTAAACACGAAACAAACAGATATTTACGAAATTATGACAGTGATTGACGATAATGTGTTTACAATAAAGTACCATCTATCTCACACTACTAATCACAAAACTAATCACTTTCGAATTCCCTTATAAAAAAGCTATTGCAAGAGATCGTTGTTTATTCCTGATATATAAGTCCTACTATAATAATTCTGAAAGAAGTGGTAACACGTTAAAAACATCAATAAAGTGGTTTCCTGTTTGAAACCAGCTTTTGTAAAGGTGAGGCCTGCGAGTTCCCATCAGTCCATCAACGAATTAATGGAAGATGTGCCCTGAAGCAGTATCTTTCTATGAAGCCAGTAAAAAGGGGTATAAAAATGTGGCAACGAAGTGATTCTTTCACAGGATATATATATATATATATATATATATATATATATATATATATATATATATATATATATATACGGTTTCAATATTTACTCGAGAAAGAATCCACACCAACTACTGGAACTCTAGGAGTTGTTGAAACTCTAGCCAACACCATACGGTCACCAGATGTGTGTCTATGCTTTGATAGATTTGTCACTTCGTTCAACCTACTAAACACCTTAAATTTTTCATGTTTAGAAACCTATATAGCCAATTGGGTAAACGTAGAAAAATTTGAAAATAATAAAATGTTAAGGAGTGAAGAAATGTTTTTTTTTTAGATTAGTTATGTACGCTATTGTGAATTATTGGATTATTTACAAGGATTTGCATAAAAAGGTGTACAAATACAAAAATTTCACTTTTGAATTTTCTGGTGCCACAAGCGGAACATCTAATTGATTAAGAAGATCAAAATCAAATGTAAAAAGATAAGTAAGTGGCCGTTCTGGAAAAAATATCTAAATGACAGAAACAGATAATCAACATTGGAGACCATTTACCACAACAAATACCCACTAGGAGAAGGTGCTTTAGATATTCACAAAATAAATCAAAAACTCGACCTACGACTATTTGTACAGCGTTCAATGTGCCTCTATGTGCAAAAAGTGTCTTAATCACATCATTTATAAGAAGTAATGTTTTTTTTTTTGTGAAATATACTTTTTTTATTTAGAATAGAACTTTGTTTCTTTACTGATAGGATTTATTTGTCCCACCATTAAACACGAAGGGGATATTTATGTCTCATGTCCTTTCTAAGGATACAATTACACGACACAGTGTAAAAAAATTAATCGTTTTGTTCAAGTGTCTAGGTATCAACGAATATCATTAAAGTAATTTTAAACAGTTTTATTTAGGTACAATGAAATCAGCAATCAAACGGTTAAATGTAAAATATTCTCACATGATAAAATATATTTATCTTTGTATACAAATAATTGCTATATATCTCGAAATAGTTCCGGATATGAGGGTTTTCTGCGCAGAATTCATGTTATATGCATGGATTTGCTTGAAATTATGACAGTAAGTAAAAAAGTGCTTATTGATCAAAATTTAACCTATGCCAATTTGTGCTTTTCCTCTGGGGTGGTTATCACCCCAACTCGGAAGCGGAAAAAGTTTATCAAACAAAACTTTGGTAATCGCTAAAATATTAAATTTTAATAGAAACCCATTTTTTAGAGTTTTTTTCGAAAAGTCAATATTTTTGGAGTAATTCGTGACTAAATGTTCATAAATTACACATCAAAAAGCATGTTTTTAAACGGTTTTTCGCGAAAAACTTTAAAAATTTAGATTTTATCGGAAAATTGGTTTGGATATAAAATGCAACTTATAAAACAAAAAGAGATTCTTTTTTTCTTAATTACCGTAAACTTAATACTAACATAGTTATGTCTGTTCGAAAGAAGACTTTTATTAATCGAATACAAAAATCTAAACATATGATGTTGATTAATCAGACTAAACATTATAGAAGTTTTCAGGTACTTTCAGCACTCGGTAATAATGTAATCTTTCCTTCTGCTTTTATTTTTTTTTAAATACTTTTAGTTTTCTCAAGATTTGAAAAAAATGAAAGCATTTAAAAATCATTCGCCCGAAATTTTGCACCTACACTCTTAAAAATCCGTAAATGTCGCATATTATTATAAACAAACATTTAAACTGAGGGAATAATGTAATGCTGATGTCAGAATATTTGGGAAATATGTAAAATATGTGACAAAGTTATTGGATACAATAGTTATAGCGATGAAAAAATGTTGTAAAGATGGCAACACGCATTGAATCCTGCCAATTATTTTTGTATCAATTATGCCAACATAAAAGCAGCAATTTGATTTATAACAGTGCAATCTAGGTTTCACCCTAGTTTAATTTTTTACTCAACATATCTTTCTTACTTTTACATAACTCGTAAACGTGTATTAAAATATTTTACTGATATACATACTTTACCCCTTGGCCAATTGCATCGATCTCCAAGCATAGCCAGACAATAAGGGGAATCCCCTGGCGGAGATGTCTGATACATCCAATCCATCTGGGACATTTGCATGTACCCACTTAAAGTTGGAATGTCCGATACTTCATTCTCATCGCCTCCTGCTTCTATCAGCAAAACTGTCCAGTTGGAAATCTCTGATAGTCTGGAAGCCACTACCGCACCAGCTGAACCGCCACCTATCACTATGAAGTCGTATTCTGGTCGAACCTTTGGAAAAAAGTCAACATTTGTGATTTGTAAAAAACAACAAACATAAATTTAAAATAAATTGGATAATGTCATCAAACTTAAAAAATTAAAAAAAAAACATTATTGAGCAAACTCAATCGGCAATAATTTACTGATACTGATTTTTTTTAATAGACGAGGTATATTTTTGATTGAGGCCTTCAAAATTTTTAGTTGCTATCATGTATTTCGTCTGTTTTCATTTATTCTTTGACCCAGATTACCTGCGTCCCCCTCGAGTTGTGAAAACAATTTCGTATATCTCTTGTAAAATGAGCCACTGTATCTAGGTCATCAGCTAAAGCCAACACCAGTTTTGAACCTTGATTGGCAAAAAACTTGTCAGCTCTGACGATATTTTACTTATTGCATGTACCAAGGCAAAATTGAAGAGCAACGGTGACAAGGAGCCTCCTTGTCTGAGTCTTGATGATATCCTTAATAGCATTGATGTTTTATTTCCTATCTTTTTCTATGTCTATGAGTTTGTCACGAGCATTTGTGTTAGCTTCAATAATTTTCTAGTACTGCTGCTTCTTTTTATGGAATGAAATACTTCCTGTAAGTTAAGGAAGATTTGATGCTATTTATATTTGTTGTATCATTAGTATATAATCTTTGTTAACCTTTCAGCAAGAAATCTGCATTGGAGTATTATAAGTATATCTATAAATAAGGAGTAACTCTGTTTAGCAAGATAACTGCTAGAATTTTATATGCTGTGCTATTAAGCGATGTGTCTTATGGTTGCAAAGTAGTTCTTTATTTCTTATCTTATGTGTGGATCCTTTGACTCTTCCATTCCATTCCGTAGGCATTTTCTGTTGTTCCCATATTCGCATATTTTTATAATTTTTGATGTAGAACGTTTCCCCCCTTTCTTACGATTTTCCCGTTTATACGAATCTTCTTCTTTCAGTGCCTATTCGTTCCGAATATTGGCAATCATTCTGGCTATAATTATTTTATTAACTGCTGCTTTAAATAAATTCGTTGTTGTTGTGGAGAACCATTTCCTCAGGTTCTTCAACCATGATATTCTCCTTCTCCCAATTCCTCGCTTTCCGAATACTTTACCCTGTAGGATTACCTTCAGTAATCTGTATTTAGTGCTGTTTCTCATTATATGTCCGAGATATTCCAACTTTCTCCTTTTAATGGTATACATCACCTCTCTTTCTTTGCCCACTCTTCGTTTATACGATAATTCCTTGGTTCTTTGTGGTCATTAAGAGATAGCGTAGAATGAAAGGCGTAAACTTAGACAGAATATAACTCCTAATTATCACAACTTCGAAGTAGTAAAGGAATTTAAGTATCTGGTGGTGGTAATTATAGATGAGAACCCAGTAAAAAAGGAAATCTCATCAAGAATAACTGCTGGGAATAGAGCATTATACTCTCTTTCAACATAATTGAGATCTACGCTACTAAAAGGACAATCTAAACTATCATTGTACAAGATAAATTATTTGGCCAGTTGTTACCTATGGCAATGAAACCAGGATCTTCAATTATCGGGAAAAAAACAAGCTTCTGTTATTTGAAAGAAATGTCCCCAGAATAATATTTAACTCTTAAAGAAAAGATATAGGATATTGAAGGAAATGCCGCATAGTGACTTTGCATGGTAGTGAAAACATGATCAGATATATAAAAGCCAACCGGATAAGATGTGGTAAGATCAGAGGACAAAAGAGTAGGGAAAACAGTATATTTTGAGAGACCAAATAGTAGAAGATCATTAAGCCGTTCCAGAAACAGTTGGTAGGATGATGTCGAAGCAGATTCGTCTAGGATTGGAGTACAATGATAGGAAATGGAAGCACAAGATCGTAGAAAATCGAGGGTGACAGTATATGTATCTTAGACTCACCCTGAGTTATGAGGCCAGACAAGAAGAGAAAGAGGTATATTTTCAACGAAATAAAAAATCATCTTTTGCTCGATGTAATTTCTTTAAAATGAACTATCTCACTTTCTGGCCAGTTCTTAGACCTGGATTATATTTTCGAACATTCCGTTTTAACCCATTCTAAATATTATTTGGTCTGGACTGAATGCTGATCAATCCAATAGATTTTTCCATAATATCGTTCATACCGTAATCTTCAACATTTAAAGTCTATGAGTGCGAAAATAAGAAATAAAATCAACCCTTAAGAATTAAAATAATAACCTACCGAATAAGAGTATATCAGTTTAAAATATGCGTTTGTCCAAATATCATTAAATTATATCTAATATAATAAGCACACAAGCACTAATGTCTTATGTATATAGTCAACTCAACGATCTAAACAATCGGTAGTATCAAAAGCAAATCTTCCTGTAGTACTGATCGACTATCCATAAAAATTTTCTTAAATCTTCCAATAAATATGTTGGAAGTCCTGGTCTCACTAATTAATGATTCCTTTAAAAGAGTTGTATTTCCGGAGTGCCTAAAGACAGCCATTATTATTCCTCTTGATTAGGGTAGTGGCTATAGACCTATTGCCTTAATACCGATCATATCCAAAATTATTGAGAGACTTATAAGAGCCCCGCTTATGTCCTTTCTCGTTAAAAACAACATTTTATCATAAAGTCAGTTCAGCTTTTTATGTACTAAATGTACCAGTGATGCTATGTTTTCTGTACTACATGAGGTCTATCAAGCACTAAACAATAATCTTTATACTGTCACGACATTTTGATAAACTAAATTTCTAGTGAATTCGAAGAATTTCTTTGAATTGGTTTCAATCTTACTCGAGGAATAGGAAACAATCAGTTAGAGCAAATGATACTGACTCTTGTCTGTGGACAAGATTGTGTGTGGAGTACTACTAAGTTCAGTATTGGGTCCTCTACTTTTTCTTATCTTTATAAATGACATTACTAACTTAATAATCGATAGAATTTTTTTTCTTTTTGCTGATGATACCAGTATCACCTGGAAGAATTCTAATATTGCAACTTTTCAGGCAAGTATAACTTCTGATCTACTTGAAATAAAAACCTGGTTTGACTCTAATTTACTCTCTTTTAATGTGGATAATGCATAAATTAGTAACCGAAATCTGGCAACGGAAGGAAATGCCCGCAGACTGGAAATTAGGTGTAATGCATCCTCTTCACAAAAAGGAAGATATGATGGTGTGTAATAATTATAGAGGTATCACCCTACTTAACGTGGCATAGTATGTCCAACGTATTGTATAGAAGATTGATCCCCTATGCTGAACAAATAGTTGGGAACTACCAGTGCGGTTTCCGACCCAATAAATCAATAACGGATCAAATCTTCACAGTCAAGCAGATTCTTGAGAAAACGCTTGAGTTAGGAGTCGACACCCACCACATATTCGCGGATTTCAATGCCGCATACGACTCAGTCAACAGACAGAAACTTCTGCAGGCTACGGTGGAATTTCAAATGCCGCTTCATCTTGTTCAACTAACGGAACTTATACTCACAGGCGTAGAATCCAAAACGACTTTTCAAGACCCTTCCATTGTAAAAATGGACTGAGACAGGGAGACTAGAGTGTAGTCAGAATTCAAAACGACTTTTCAAGACCCTTCCATTGTAAAAATGGACTGAGACAGGGAGATATACTGTCACTTCTCTTATTTAACTTTGCACTAGAAAAAGTAATTCGAGAGTGCAATATTAATACGAATAGCACTATCTTTAATAAATCTGTACAAGTGATCGGATATGGAGATGACATAGACATTATTGCTAGGTCCACAGAATGTCTGATCGAAGCATTTCGATCATTAAGGGCGTTTGTTCTGAGAATAGGTTTAAAAATAAATGCACAGAAAACCAAGTATATGTATTCTACTACATCAGGCAACCAGCTTGAGGAAAGAGATTGCCACAAAACTTTCCAGAAAAATTTATCATATAGTAAGTAATAATAAGTTACCATATATAAAACACTAATAAGGCCAGTGTTAACATACGGGTCAGAAACGTGGAAATTTTCGACCGAAGAGGACCAGTGGGAAGACAAGCCAGAGGAAGACCAAAACGAAGAAGACTTTGGCTCATAACGAGCTGTAACGCTACTGATGATGATGATGAAGACAGTAGCCTTATCCTATAACCGAGCTCTTCAACCCTTGCTTCTTAATAACAGCCAGATCAGTATCGTTGATTCTGTAAACTTTCTTGGTATTTTTATAGACAGCAACCTTAAACGGTCCTTTCATATCGATTTGTTAAGTAAGAAACTACCCTCAGCCTGCTATGCAATATCAAGATCATATACAATATACAAGATCTGTTTCGAAGGAAATCAATTTAGCCTCTTCCAAAATAACATATTTTTCTTTGTTCGAGTCTCCTCTTCGATATGGTCTTCCTTTTTGGGGTTCTAGTAGAGCTGCCAAATCTGATGATATTTTTAAATTACAAAAAGGAGCAATACGATATCTTCAGTATCTTGTGTCTTCAGTAGAATAACAAATTGCAGAAACTACTTAAATGATCGAGTAGGTAAATCTTCCCTCTTTATATATTTTAGAAACTGTTTGCTTCATTCGTAAACACCTACATGTATTTTCACCAAGATCTAATCATGATTACTCCACCAGAAATTCAACCTTTGGTGTGTATTAAAGAAATCTATATTAAATTCAGCAAAAAAATTATACAATAGACCATATTATTCAATGGAAGAAGAATTAACGAATAACTAAGAAATTACAATACGTTTATGTACAAGTAACCAAATTATTTTATATATTTTGGGGAATCACACGCAGCAACTTAAACTTATTAGTTCGTAAGGTTTTATTATGTAATTTGCAATTTATTTAAATTTTGAAATGGATTGTGTATTTTATTATCTTTTATTTTGTGATATTGACGATTTATGTAATTTCAGTAAATTTTAAATTATTGTTATTTTTTTGACATTTTTGTAAGCTTCGTCCAATTGTAAAATTTTCAGTGACAATAAAGCATACTTCCATTCTCTTCTAACGGATTATAAAAGTGAGAAAATTACTCTTCAAAACATTCCATAATACTCAAAGTTAGAAATCGTAATTCTGCAATGAATCACCCATTACCTAAAATCGTTACAAGTTCAATGGCACATCATCACGGTTTTAAAATTTAAAACCAATAAAACTCTCCGAACGAGAAGGAAAGTACAAAAATATAAAGTAGAAAGTAAAGGTTGGGTCCAAAAATAAATGACAAACGTAAACTTTCTACCGAAGACTAATATAATTTTGAATATGTTTTAATGATGCGGCCATTCTTACCACTCAAGCATTATTAATGGTCTTTATCGAAACTGGGAGATTAATGATTTGGAAATTATGGTATATGGTTATGGTAAACGCAGGTTTTTATTCTTAAATAGATATATAATAGTTAGATTTGTTCGTTTTCACTTATCAAAAAGTTTTAAAGTTCTATAGATAAATGGAATGTGTACACCATCGCAAAAAAGTTGTTTTGATTAATGTTTATGATTAATCGAGTGGCTTGTTTACAGTAGTAAATAACATAATTATGCCGCTTACCTTTTTTTACATTTCTTTATAATGCCTTACTTCTCGTAAAAATCTCTTCGGAAGAAATGCTTCTTTTAAGAGTTAACCTAATATACTAAATAAGTCAATTTGTAATAAAAGCAGATGGTAAAGCAGTTGAATAAAATAATATCTCTAGGAAAGTAAGGATAGCGTTAGGACAGATTGAATCAAGTTTACTAACAGATTTATTTAATAAAATTATGGAAGGACCAAATGATTGGCAAACAAAAATGCAGGTTGTTGGTGTCTTTATCCAAAACCGAAGAGGACTTACTATGTTCTATGTACTATGTTCAAAATAAGAGCATAAAACTACTTGACTATTCGCTCCGTGCGTGACCATGGTAGGGGTACATTGAAACGAAGCCAGCGTGCATAGCGGCGAAATATGACAAAATTGGAATATTGGACAAAATATTTTTACGCATAAATTTTTATCAAAAATGTGTGCAAATACATGTTGCGTATTTAATTGTGCTAATAATAGCAAAAACAGTGAGTGTAGTTTTTATAGGTTCCCAAAGATTACATATAAATTAGAGAAAAGAAAAAGATAAATTCCTGCTATTAATATGAAAAAGTAAATATCACATAATGTCATTTTTACGCAATTGAAATAGGAAAAATTTAAATAATTTACCTTGAATGATATTTCATAAGGCTTCAAGCTAACTGCAGATGACTTTAGCTTTTATATTATAACTTTTACTATTATTGTTTTTAATTATATGCTCTGTATCTGTTCAGATACAAGAGAGTCTTATATAACCACAACGGTTATAGAAGACGTTTGACTAGCAAAAAAGACATGGAAAAATAAAACTAAGAGGATAGAAAAAAAAATACGACTGATTTCCAAACAAATAGCCCGCTTTGTACAAGGTTTGTCAAAGGGACGAGAAGAATAAGAAAATACAATAGTCGTAGGGTCTTGTTTTAAGTGAAAAGTGAATTTCTTTAAACCCAGTTTGACAATTAGAGTTTACTGAAAAGAAGAAAATAATATACGATAATTTTTTAGAGTAAATAAGTAATTAGAACATACAACTAAACAAGATCACATTATACCACAGTAATAAAAATATTGAATGTAGAATATGTAAACAAAGACAAAGTACTTTCCCATACAGTAGGGAATAATAAAAAGGAATTCTCTCTTGAAGAAAAAGCTTTACGACTTACTAGTCTGAAAACAAAATATCTACAGTGATGAGTTGAAGGTGGTATTCCTATAAAATAAAGTATTTATAATAAGGTATACATACAAAGTATGTATGTACAACCAGCTGACAATAACAACAAAATAGTCAGAAATTAAATAGATTATATTATCGTCAACAGAAGATATAGAAATTCTATAATATCATCTAAAACTTATCCAGGACCGGACATATCCTCCGACCACAACCCGGTTGTTTTGTCGATGAGAGTGAAACTAAAGAAGGTTAACAGCCCTAGCACCAAGAAAATCATAGATACAAGACGTCTCAAACAAGACAACACATATGTGGAAACCAAATTTAAAATAAACGAGAGCTTGAGGAAAGTCAAAGAAGATAATGTAGAAAACTCTAATTATTGACCAAAAATGGGGAAAAATTCAACATGCCCTTGTGTCAGTTGGAAAAGAAATCCTCAAACCACTTAAAGAAAAAACAAAACCTTGGATGACAGTAGAAATTCTTGAACTCATGGAAGAACGAAGAAAACATAAAGCAAAAGACCTGAATAAATACAAAGAAATTCAGAGAATCATCAGAAAGAAAATTCGAGAGGCAAAAGAGAGATGGCTCTCCGACAGATGCAAGGAAATAGAAGATCTGGATAAAAAGTACGATAGCTTTAATTTACACAAAAAAATCAAAGAAATGACAGGTTCTAGAAAGCGTACAAAAACGAATATCCTTAAAAATGATAAAGGGGATATTATTACTGATATGAAGGAGAGATTATGTCACTGGACCAATTACATTCAACAACTATTTAATGATGAAAGAGAAGAACTGTCATTAGAAATCACCGAGGATACCGGACCACCAATATTAAGAGAAGAAGTCATCTATGCCATCAAAAACACAAAAGAGGGTAAAGCTACTGGACCAGATGAGGTGCCCATCGAATTATTAAAACTCATCGATGAAGATGTTATTGATGTAATGGTTGAACTCTTTAATCTAATATATCAGACTGCCACGATCCCCAGACAATGGCTGCAATCAACCTTTGTAGCAATTCCCAAAAAACCAAGTTCAACAATTTGCTCAGACCACAGAACAATAGCTTTAATGAGTCACACACTTAAAACATTTTTGAAAATAATTCACAGCAGAATTGTTTAAAACTCTTGAATATGAGATTAGTGACACACAATTTGGCTTTAGAAATGGTATGAGTACAAGAGATGCTTTGTTCTGCTTGAATGTGCTGGCTCAGAGATGCATGGATATGAATCAGGATATGTACTTATGTTTTGTAGACTTTGAAAAGGCATTTGATAAAATTCAACATAAAAAGCTTGTATATATATTAAAAAGCAAAAATATTGACAGTCGTGATCTGAAAATTATATCTAATTTATATTGGAATCAAACTGCCAAGGTAAGAGTTGACAGCCAGTACACCGAAAATATCAAAAGACAAAGAGGAGTCCGCCAGGGTTGCGCGCTGTCCCCACTACTTTTCAATGTTTACAGTGAACCGCTCTCAGACTCAATAGAAGGTATATCTATCAATGGAGAAGTTTTGAATAACTTACGTTTTGCAGACGATGAAGTAATAATTACGGATAACAACAATGATTTACAGAACGTAATGCAACGCCTTAATGAACACCGTCATGAGTACGGACTGAAGATAAATTTAACGAAAACTAAATGCATGATCATGACTAAATCTGCACATGCAAATATCCAATTGACTATTGAAGATACTGCAATTGAGAGTATTAATAACTATAAATACTTAGGAACATGGATAACATCAGATGTAGACCAAACCAAAGAAATTAAGGACACGTATTGAAATAGCACGTAAATCATTTATTAAACTTAAAAAGTTTCTTTGTTGTCGGGATATAAGGTTAGAACTACGCCTGAGAATGCTTCGATGTTACGTGTTCTCTACTCTTCTTTATGGTTTGGAAGCTTGAACACTGAAACAAGTTCATCTGAAAAGTTGGCCGCCTTTGAATTTTAGTGTTACAGAAGGATAGGAAATGAGGGGGAAATAATATTAACTATTAAAAGCCGAAAACTTGAGTACTTGGGACATGTGATGAGAGGGCAAAAATACGCATTATTACAACTTATTATACAGGGCAAAATCCGAGGAAAGCGAAATGTGGGAACACGAAGAATATCCTGGCTTAAGAACTTAAGGGAATGGTTTGAATGCAGTAGTGCAGAACTTTTTAGAGCGGCAGTCAACAGAGTCCGCATAGCCATGATGATTTCCAACCTTCGATAGAAGATACGAACTTAAAGAAGAAGAATAAGGGATGGTATCTTTGATTAATTAGAAGATAATTAAAAAACCAACTAACATACTAAAGAAAGGTAGCAAAACAAAGAAAAACTAGAAGAGTATGACTAGAAAAATTATTTATAAAAAAATAAATTTTTTTCATATAATTTCATATAATTTCATATAAGCTAAAGAAAAGCTTCTCATATAATTTTCTTATAAACCAATAATTGTGGCTAAATTCCATATAAACGTTACATTTAAGGTAGACATGCCACAACAGAGTAGTTTTGGAACCTTGCTTCTCCGCTTTGGTTTTTCGCTCCCATTATTTCCCTTTAAATTTACTTAAGTTCTTTTTATATTATATTTAATAATAAACTTATACGTTACTTAGTTTCTTCTGAAAATGTACATTACTATCGCCATGTAAGGTGAGGACGGTAGATAGGATCTTTTCGTTACATGTACGATTAAGTACATTTACAAAAAAATTATACAATTACTACCTCCATATTACACAATCTTGACCCGATTAAATATTAAATAATATTTAGTATTATTTAATATTGATTAATTTTTCTAATATATGATTTACTAATCATAATAATTGCACTCATCACATCACAGTAAAATAAGATCTTGTATACAGGACAATATCGAATTCAGTGGTAAGAAAGTAAGGAAACGAAGTTTATGTCAAAGTAAGATGCTTAGGGTTGGTTAGATAGAATTTTATTAACTCTTGTAAATGCCAGTGGTTATTATAAAATACTTTAAATGTTTTTGCCGAAACCTTTCGTCAAATAAATTTTCATTGCTTGAGTCTACGCATTACTTTGAGAATTGGTACGCAGTATACTTTAAGTTTTACATATTTCAGTACTTACATTGAGGGTATTCCTCGGGTGCACTTCGGGGTCCATCGACAGATATCTCATAAATGTGAGACCAGCAGCAAAAACGGGTACTAATCCCAATAGAGCTAGCGGATTTGTTGTTACTCCAATTGCCAAGTTTGCGATTTGCCCTATTGTTGCTAACGCCGACATTTTTGTATATTATAAATAATTAACTAAAACAAAGAAAACCAAACATTAATAAAGGAAATGGATAATACCTAAATTATATATAAGACAGTAGTTTGGATATATGTACCTCTAATCTTCAAGAAACAATTTTCTGAAATTCAGAGCAAGTAAGCTATCAAGTCCACAATATCATTTCGGAAATTTGAGAAAAGTTAAAGATATTTTAGAAAAAAATAATTGACCACCAGAATTTTACACCCTCTAATTAAAACAATTAAAGAAGAAGTTATATTATTAGCAATCAATATAATTCCAATACCAAACCAAAACAAACGCAAACCGTTATTATTAGCACTAATACTAATAATAATGACACTAAGTCAAACAAATACTATATATCCTTACCATACATTATTGTATTTTCTGAACAAATGTCAAAAATGTTGGCAAAATATAATATTAATGTTGGACATAAATCATCAAAAACATCTGGAAATATTGTTTAAAATTTAAACCCATGGTTAATAAAGATCATCAATCAAATGTTATTTATAAAATAAATTGTTAAAGACTGTAAATAAACATATATTGGGCAAACACACCAATACCTGCATAGAAGAGTTGTTTCACACACACATCGTGTACAGACCAATGCGTTAAACACAACAGCCCTAGCCAAACATTCTCTAGAAAATATCCATTCTTTTGATTTTGAAAATGTACAGATTTTGAAAAAAAGATTCAAATTTTTAGCAATAATAAGACTAACATCAAAGATCGTTTCAATATGTATCATCATTTAATCAACTGAGTTGTTTTTAAATGCACTATGGCAGATATTTAAAATACGACCCTGAAACCACTCCTATTTTAAGATATCTGACAGATGGCATCTGTCAATGTCAGATACCAATTTTTTAATCCATGCTAAACTTTTAAAAAGTGTAAACATGAAATATAATTGTATAATGTAATGTTTATAAAATAAACTGTTTATAAAAAATGGCAAATTTGCCGAAACGCAATAGTTAAGTAATTTTATTTACAACAGACCGGCAAACCCAGGAAATAAAAAAGTTTCTATTTAAATATTCACGGTCAGGAAATATATTTGCTATTGTTAACTATTCTTAGAAACTACTGTTATTTATATTATATTTATAAAAAAAATATCGTAACGTTTACAGATATTTAGCTCTAATACTGCTAAGTCGATAAATTATTTCCTCTAGCAGATTCTCCCATTCTTCTCTACAGGTAATTGTAAGTTCATGATGGGTGTAAGTTCTAGGAGGATTTCTTCGATCATAAACAGCTCTGTAGATCACATTCAATGCATGTTCAATGAGGTGTATGTCTGGAGACATCGCAGGTCACTCTAAACGGCGAATATCTTCTGAGTCAAGATAGTCCTATGTGAGCGGACGTTATCATCTATAAATACAATATTTTCACGACATCTACTTACCATAGTCTCATATGAGGTTCTAAAGCTCGTCTGAAGTAGCTTTGTCCTGTTAGAGTTCCGTGAATAACCACCAATTCCGCGCGTCCACCTGCCATAATAGCTGCCACAAAACATAATACTGCCACCAGCGAAAGGAAGTACGGGACGGACATGTGCTCTTATTGGCTCTCGTCAAACACGAACTCGCCGGCTATCAATATTTAAACAGATTCTGTTTTCGTCTGAAATTAGCATAAAAATCTAAAATTGTTGAGGGAGCTGTTGTATGTTCTTGAGCTACTGGACACGGTGCAAAACATGTTTGGTTGTAGCTGTGGAACTCTTATTGATGAATTTCTCAAACCTTACTCTAAAATTCCTCTTCTTATTTTAGCCAACGATTCTCTCTTCTCCTGTAGTACGCTCGAAGTCTCTTTGGAGGGTTGGTACACACATAGAAGAATTTCTCCGAATAGAAATTTTGATATATTTATTCTGTTACTCATGGATATCTCGGGGTCTACTAGAGAGAGCTCTATTCTGTAGCGAATTTGTCTCCAGAAACCTCAGAGAGAAACCAGACATCACTCTGAGAAACACCCACTCTTTCCGCCACGAACCGTTGTAATGAAGTTACGAATTCAATTTTTTTGAACGCCACGCCGGCCGAAGAGATAACCTCCACAACTATGACTACGCCCGTCACTTCGCAGAAGGTCAAATTTATTATTCATTCTATAAAAAAAAACGTATTTTTTAAACATTGTAAACGTTTTTTAAAATTATTTGTCATTTAGTATCGAATGCCTCTAATTTCGTTTCTTAATGACCATAAATAAAGTGGCATCGTTTTTAAGAGGCTCTTTCGGTTCCTATTGGCGATAGAAACTTTTTTAAGTTGTAGGTCTTGGAGCTAGCTAATCATAATTTGTGAGATGCAAACTGCTACGATTTTTAGGGCATGCTCCAGTTTTAAATGTTTATAAAAAATTTAACCATTTTTTCATGTAATAAGTAAGGGGTAAATGGTTAGAAGAAAAGTTACCAGCACGTTAGAAGAAAAACATAATAGTGCTCATCCACAAAAAAGGGGACAAAACAAAATGCGCGAGTTATAGAGGAATTTCACTCCTAAACACGGCATATAAAACCGTCTCAAACATCATTCTTAGTAGACTAATCTCTTATTAACCTTGGCAACCCTGAGGTTGGCCGAAATAAAAACAGAATTGCTCTCGGTTCAAAGGTCCAAGCTGTTACTCGCATATACTTTAAATAATTTAAAATTGCACTCTTTTGCAGACGACACACAACTGTATATTCTCTTTTGAACCTAACTCTGTAAATCAAGCTTCACAAAAAATAAATCAGGATTTGGAATCTATTTGTACTTATTCCACTAGACATAATCTTAATCTAAATGCTAAAAAATGTAATTCTTAGTTACTTATATTGTTCAAAAAATTATAAAGCCACTGTTCAGGATAACTTAAAACTAATTATAAAAAATGAACCTCTAAAAAATGTTAATAGTTGCAGGAACTTAGGAGTCATATATGACTGTACGCAACGATTTCAAGAGCATGTCACCCTTTTAGTAAAAAGGGTGTTTTAGTTATGCGTCAACTGTATAGAAGTAAAGGCATTTTAAACTTTAAATTGCGTAAGTTACTTTGTGAAACTATGGTAATGTCAATTGTTAATTATGGGCTCTTGGTATTTTATCCTTGCTTAGATCAAGTTACGAAATTAAGGTTGCAAAAAATTCGAAAATAATTGTTGCAGATTTGTCTTTGGCATAAGAAAATATGATCGTGTATCATGCAAAATAAAAGAACTTCAATGGTTAACCATAATTAATTTATACAAATATCACCTCGCCTCATTGTATATCGAATTATTTCGTCGTCAAATCCTATTTATTTAAGGAACAAATTAGTATTTCGTGGAGATGCTCATAATCTGGATTTGAGATATCCTCATAGTCTTATGCTGCTTAGGTACAGACTAGCTATTTTCCAGCGAGCGTTTACTGCTGTTTTTAGTGTTTAATAGTTTACCAATAAATTTAAGAGGTAAATCTCTTGATTTCATGAAGTGGTATTATAAGAAATTTTTACTACAACCGCGAGTAACGTTATTATTATTATTATATAGTATATTGTTGTTGTTATTGTTAACTATTAGATATTTTTTGTTTTTGTTTATCTTTTATATCATATCATATATCACACAACATCACAAATTATTATTTTTTAAATTATTTTCTTTTAATTATTTTTTTTTATAGTAGTAGCCACATGACTATTTTTTCACTCTCAACTTTTTTTATTTTCAAATTATTTTTAAACTAATTTTGTAAATTTGAGGATAAGTGGAGTAGCTCTATCTTGACTTCGCCTCATGCACCTAGTGTTTGTAAAATTGTACAGACTAAATAAAGGCAATTTATTATTATTATTATTATATACAGATGACATAGATCTCGTTGGAGACTCCATGCTATCCACGAAAGACATCTTCAACAAGGTGGAAGGAGCAACAAGTGAAGTAGGGCTGAAGATTAATGAAGAGAAGGCGAAATATATGTGTATAAATAGAACGACGCGAATAGGACAAAATGTGATGGTCAACACCTTCAATTTCGAAAAGAGTACAACGTTTTAAGTATCTGGGGACCGTAATCACAGCTGACAACGATGTTACTGAAGAAATAAAAGACATAATCCAATCTGCAAACCGCTGTCTATTCGCACTGGATAAGCTCATAAAATCAAAAAACGTTGAGAAAAATACTGAGAAAAATTTTCGGACCTCACCATGACATCACCACATGTGTGATAAACCAGTATAAGATCAGAACCAATATCGCATTAAAAGCACTCTACAATAACGCGGATATTTTCCAAGAAATTAAATTACAGCGACTAAGATGGACAGGCCACGTGCATGCACAGACTGTATAACGAGAGACTTGTAAAACTGGTATGGGAGGAGATTCCCACAGGTAAAAGACCACTCGGGCGTCCCAGAATGCGATGGAGAGATAATTTCCAAGCAGATCTCCGGAAAATGAAAATTCCATTTGACCCTAAGCTCATGGAGTATCGAACAAATTGGAAAAAAGTTGTACAGCCACCCAGGGTTGTAGCGCTACGTGATGATGATGATGAAGTAAGGGGTAAACACATTTTTTTAGGTTTTATTTACATTTATTTAGGTTTAGGTTTTATTTTACATCATAGTCTTAAAGTATAAATTTTTAGAAGAGAATGTGCCATAGATTAAGTCTCTGATTTTTTTTCAAAAAGTTATAGCTTTTTACTTTTAATTGTTTAATTTGTTGCAATTGCAATTGTACACATTATAATATCTTAGCAACAAATGAACCGATGGTGTTTTACAAAATGTTATTTTATTGGAAATTGAAAGGATTTCAATCTAATATATTTAAAATTATTATGCAAACATTTTTACAAAAAATTGGCGCTAACATCCCGACAACTAAGTTTTCATCACCAAGCCCACAAGATGGAAGTGCCCAGTGAAACGCATTGCCCAGCTCTCCAAATCA